GTTCCACAGGATCGTCATTGTTGCACTTGCCTTTGATGCAAATGAGGTAATCATATATAGCAGTCTTTGAGGTCTAGGCATGGACCGTTGCTTTGGGATATGGCTAGCTTTCCCTTGTTAGAAAAACTGATGGGTCAGTTGATATGGATGGATGTGGGATTGCAAGGAGGATCTGTGCATGAATTTAGGTTCCGTTTGCAAAAATAATTTTTATATTTTTAGATGTTTGTTTGATGAAAATTGATTAGTTAATAAAAAATATTTTTTTTTAATGAAAAAATAAGATTTCTTTTGAAAATTATCTTATGAATTTAAAATTGAAAGACATTTAAAAAAATTGTCTATGAATAAACTATTTATCAGTATTTTAAGCGTAATTTTACTTATAAATAATATTATATTAATAAATAATATACAATTAATATAATATATTAATATAATATTTAATATATTAATAAATAACTACTATTAATATAATATATTATTAAATATTTTAATAAATAATATTATATATTTAATAAATATATAGAGAATAAGAAATGGTTTTATTTTAAGTATTTTTTATATTAACATAATATTTTAATATTAAACATTATTATTAAATAAAGTTATTTTTTAAAGTTAATAATTTTATTAATAAATAATTTAAATATATTTTAATAAATAAATAACTTTGAATATTTTAATAATTATATTAATATTATTTGAAAAAAATAAATTTTCTAAAAAATAACCAAACAAAAAAAATTTTTTGTTAACTTATACAGATAACAGAAAAAATTTTTTAATTCAAAACATATAAATTTTTTTAAAATTATTTTTCAAAAACTATTTCTCTGAAATAAACCTCATAAAATTATAAGCATTTAAACAAAAAAAAAAAAATCCTCTTTGATAAATGATTTTTGTCACAATATCAATTAGATTATAAAGAGCACACATGATTCATGCCAAAGTCCAAGTCTTCCCCATACTTCGGTACTGACGATGACATCTTTCTTTTGTTCAATTTTACAACTTGGAGAGCCGTTCTAGATACGGCTTGTTAAGAATCTGTTGTTGATTTTTTGTGGATTTTTCTTCGTCATATACGGCATTGGCGTTTCAGACTTTGTGGGGTAAAGGCTTGGTAGCCATAACCCGTATCTCTGCTCAATTATAAAATTTGAATTAAATGATGAGGCATAACTTAGATTTCAGACAAAATAATATTGTCAACAGAATTTTTCATGCTTGACTTGATTTGATGTAGCTTATACAAAGTTACATATACAAGATAATTGATTTATCTATACATCAAATTTAATTACCACAGAAAATTGATTATTCATTAATAAAACTTAAAGGTATGTATATTTTTGACAGAAAATGCATGAAAGATAGGTTTGAAAAGATTTTTTTTCAACGAGTCCAAAAATTTTATTACAGGGATTTATGTTTTTAGTGACATTATTTTTAAAGTTTAGCGATATTTATAAACGTCATTAAAATATTAGCGACGTTTGCAAAAAACATCATTAAAAGCATCTGCTACACTCACGTCAAAAAGATAACAACGT